GCACTGGAATATATTCATCTCTACTGGCTTAGAACAATACCGATCCAGTTATTGTAAGACTAGGAATGCCTGTAAAGCTTTAATAAGTCATACTAGACGATTATACGAAAAACAATTGGTTGGGGATCCTAGAAACGCTTATTCTCGGATATGAAAAGGCGAACTCAGAGAAGCGATGGAATTCCATCACTTTTGACACAAGAAAATCCGTTAATCTTGGCAGAAGATGATACCGAAAAAATTGAAGCTTTATCGGAATATTTCAGTGAAGTGTTTTCTATCACTAATGAAGAACGACCAACGATTCATTATGATCGTGATGGCTCGCTGATGGATCCTGTGGTCACTGAGAAGGGTACTTTTTTAAGGCTACTTCAGCATATCAAACCTGATAAGTCCAGTGGTCCTGATAATATTCATCTTAGGATTATGAAGGCCATATCAGATGTAATTGCTGAACCATTAGCGATACTGCTTGACATGTCTCTAAAGCAGTCCAGACTGCCCAGAGACTGGAAAGACGCTATAATAAGTCCGGTGTATAAGGCTGGGAGTAGGGATTGAGTTACTAACTATAGACCTGTAAGCTTAACTAGTGCAGTTGTAAAACTGATGGAAAAAATCATTCGGATATCTGTTATAAACTATGTTGAAAGGCATAATCTTTTCTCCAGGGAACAATATGGTTTTCGGAGAAACCTATCGTGCTTGACGAATCTTCTCATTACAAGAGAAGCTTGGGCTGCTGCAAAATATCAGAATGCTCCTGTAGATGTGATCTTCATAGATCTAAGTAAGGCTTTCGATAAGGTCTCCCATTGTGGTCTTAAACTCAAACTGGAACGCTTCGGAATCCATTATACAGTCGTAGATTGGATAAGTAACTTTCTCCATGACAGGAGACAAAGGGTAAGGGTTAATGGGACCCTTTCCTCGTGGGTACCTGTAAAAAGTGGAGTTCCCCAAGGTACAATCCTCGGTCCTCCTCTCTTTTTACTTTATCTAAATGAATTACCAACTGTAGCAAAATCATCCGTTCTACTATTCGCCGATGACATAAAAATTTAGAGACCCATAAACAATATGTCAGATAGAATAGTATTACAGAATGATTCTAGCTCACTGGTGGCATGGTTAGACAGGTGGTCACTTGAAGTAAATCCTAATAAGAGTGTGTTGATGCAATTAAATAACAATGATTATTCGTATCACTATACAATACGTGGATTCGTACTACCCAAAGTAAGGAACTATAAAGATTTGGGTGTCATATTAAGTAGTGATCTCAAAACCACTAGTCACTGTGAGGCTGCTGATGCAAAAGGCTATAGGGTATTATGGTCTATTCGTAAGTCTTTTCAGTATTTAAATGATGAAATGTTTAGATTACTATGCCCTATTTATGTGCGGCCACATTTAGAATATGGAATTCAAGCGGCGAGTCCTTGTTTCAAGTATAAAGCAGATATGCTAAAGAGAGTCCAATGACGAGGTACTAAGATGGTACAAGGTCTATCTGGACTATCTTATGAAGACAGATTGAGACACCTCAACTCATTTCCGTTATCTTACCGTCGAATACGGGGTGATCTAATATTGGCTTATCGTATACTGAACGATGAACTTATTATTAACATGTCTTATCTTTTACTTCCGTCTAGGACTAATCGTTTGAGAGGACACTCGAAAAAAATTCAAAAGCCGAGATCAAATCGTTTACGTCTGGAGTTTCGTTTCTCTCATCGAGTAGTGAATTATTGGAATTCTCTACCGGAACACGTAATATCAGCACCTTCTGTTGATATATTCAAGACGAGATTGGACCTCCACAGTATTACAAACTGCAAGGATTATTACAGCTCGATAGGCCTCCTATCCTTATTACTGAAGACTGAATATCTGCCTCAGATACCCAGAGCATTGGTTTTGGCCCGTCTTTTGCTTTGAGCGCTTCAAGTTAGGCCTTAAACTGTGAAGTTCGGTGATGTCACAAGAACAATCAACCACAAACCAAGTGTCTCGACATCATTTGTCACTCCATGTGATTCACCTAATATCGATACCTTGAGGAGACTTTTAAAAATGAATGGATGGCCCTCAACACTCAGGAAACCCATGGATGGATATTCTTCATAGTAATCCAAAGACTGTAAAGGGGTCTGACTGAAATTATTTACCTCTGTGAAACAACTAAATGACGCCTACCTTGACTTTTGACCCGACAATATATTCCTGTCTTTCACTAATATACACAGGCAGACAGCTGGAAAATCACTTTTCTAAAAATCTGACGCAAATTCCAAAACATACACAATCCGTAATTTTGTGAGTAGTGGGAAAATTAACAACTCTCAAAATATTCATTATTTGAAGATGTCACAGGTATTCGTAGTTTGACAACGCTTTAACCAGTAACACGTTCTAATACGAAGCGCACCCACCAAGTAAAATCAAAAGACAGAAGTGAGGAGATCGAAGATATATTTGATAAGCTATCAACATATCGAGGATCGTTTGCACTAATCTGGCTAGCGATTGCGGCAGATGTTGAGCACGGCGTTCCCACACGTGATCTGGTGCGGATGCTTGACCGAGCGCCTTCAGCTAGATGAGTTCACTAAAACTGTGGTCAGCATCCAATGTCGAAAACTTACAGAGCTATTTGATTTTGGGGAATTATTTACCGCTAAAACTTATTGCTGTACAAATACTTAGTTAATGTTCCGGAAGATTCCAAACTGGAAAATATGAAGAAAGTGAAAAAGTAATGGACTATATATTCGTAGAAGTGTTGAGAAGACTTCGGTATATAGAAGTTGTCATTGTGTATAGTATGCCTAGCAGTGCAATCTTTAGGTATGCCGAAAAATACCCCACCACAAGTGTATGTGTATTGTCACGCTCATGTTATATAACACGAAGAGTACATGAAGTCCAAGTTAATGTATCCTGTTCCATTCTCTATCAGCTTAGTGGTACCACAGATTTTGACCACGTTATTAACCAGTCACTGCTTATTCGCACGTCATTATTTAAAAAGGTTAAAATCATCTGCAACAGGAGCTCGGTTTAACTTCGAACCATCGAAAATGTGCAGGCTAACCGACCCAGTTTATGCTTTGGCAATAGTCACAACAATGAGCGCTGCACAAACCATAAAGTACCTTCTATTGCTTATCCTAAAACTAAAGGCTTATTGAGTGCGGCTACCGGTACAATGATAAAGACTGCATATAATACAACCGTAATTACTGGTACTCATTCTAAACGACAAACTACTTTCGGTTCTCAAGCCAGTAATACCCTCGTAATGTCCCAGGGGGACCAATAAAAACTTGGTTACTTAATCTAACAGAAATCTTCGCAGAGATTCTATTGAAAGTAATAACTGTTTTCTACCGAAATACAAAATCATACTAAATCCTCTTAAAATAACTCAGCAGTAGCAGGTTCTATAACACACGCATAAGTCTAACAGTATGCAATCATTGTAGCCTGCAAAAATGTTTGTCTGTCACCATGCGTTCTCGATGTACCTAAGTATTTCAGAGCAAACCTTAAACGTTTCTTGAATTATGATATAATTACACACAACAAAAATACCTCTCTTAGCATTAATCTCAGGCAATTCCTTGCTTCTGACGTGAAACATACAACCACATTAATGACTTACAACGGGGCTAGAATGTCCAACAGCACACAAGACCTAAGATGTTGGTCATCTTATGCACCCTCCTAACGATCCTAGGTTCTACCTGGGTGAAACCCCCATTTCCCTACTTAAAAATAAACACCCAATCATTTTTAGCATTTCCCCTCAAAATTCATGTTATTTTATCCGCACCTGTTAATCAATGAACAAATACTTTTTCATTCACTAAATAAGCTAATGATTTATCCAATTTAATTTTCTCTGCTAAACGCCTCATCTTAGGTTTCAAGATCACTTGACTAGTCTATGCTGAATTCTTATCACTGAAGCCTGGTGGATTTAAACTCCGTGTGGATATTCGCGAAATGTACTATAGTGTTCGAAATTCAGTCATAGGTGAAGGTTGTGTGAATATGTGCGTAATCTGATGTCTCATGGAATATAGTCTTCTCATAGGGTAGTGAATTGTTGAATAATGCTACATTCGTAACTGTAGATGATTGTTCTCATCCGCATTTCATAATAGGTTGCTTTCGAAGACCGCCAACTGCTGCTCATACAGTGAGCGCACATTTAAATCAAGTATTCACATAATTAACGTCTCTATCTATAGCTAAGTCAGTAAGAGGCTATTTCAATATGTCCTCTGATTGTTGGAATTAACTACGTAGTCCTTCTCATTTTGCCAAATTCACTAAAGTGTCAGAAGGAAGCAGATGGACACAGGTGGTCAATAAGCTCACTAAAAAATAGACATTTGGGCTCAATTTCCATACGCAGTGCCCAAACATATATTTAACATGGTGATCTTGAAATTTCAGGCATCGAAAACAAAGTTTTAGCCTACTGGCCTTATGACAAAATTGTACTAAGTGATCCTAGTTGGGATAGGTTCCCGTCGTATAATGACGTGAATGATATACTGGATTAATTTTATTTTAGTATCAAGACTTGTCTGGACTTAATCGCCCCATTAATAACGAAAACACTAAGCATCCCTTAATGTGATTATTTTCCCATCAAGTTCAGATCTAAGTTGAGGGAGCTGAGAAAAATGTTAATTGTTCAACATGAATTCTGTCATCCTCAATATCGAGCCAGTATTTAGACGAATCAAAACTTTCAGCAAACAAAGGAATTGGAAGCTGAAAGACGAATTTATAATTAACAAAACAAGAACTGGTTTTAAGCAGCTACTATAAAGAAAATCTTTGTATTCAATCTAATATTCCTACTGTCCTAAAAGTGCATGATGAACTTATAAGAGACCCAGCAGAACTATTTGAACCGCTTAGCAACGCATTTGTATGCAATTTCATTAACTGTGAAGAAGATTGAGGCACAAACATGGATACTCTTTTTCTGTGGCTAAATGACAATAGGATAGTAAAAAACATTTACATTATTCATTTTAATATTATCTTTATGTTAATAAATAACCATGTTGGAGTAAAATTGAATTAAATGGCAATATCATATGTAAACCGTAACTGTCATTTTAAAAGAAATCGGCTATAACTTTAACTAGACATTGAAGACTTTAAAAAATGTTTGGTTCTTCGACATATTTACTTGCAGTCAAGGTTCTAGAATTTTTAACAGCCGTCAGTCAAACGAAAGATTTTATGTTCATTGGATATAACTTCGTTTTGTTCAAATTTTGACATATCCTGTTCATTTACTAGAAATTAGACCACTTAGGTGAATAATTGTAAATAATAGCAATTAGCTTCATATCACAAATAAAAATAGTTAACATGAAGATATATAAGAACATATGAATGAGATGAATAAGTCTGTTTGCATAAATTAGCAACAGAATAGTATCATCAACGGATGTGATATCGCCTGAAATAAAGCAGATAATAGTTTGTTCACCAGAACAGTTATAAACGTTATAAGGAGAGTAGGAATTGTAAAATTATATTTGGCATGTCAGTTATCAGCATTTTAGACAATTTAAAAGCTGACATTCACAATCATTTATTAGGTGGAGTAGATAACAGGAATTCATATTTAAGAGCAACTGTAAAATAATTAAAATGCAGCAAATGAACGGTTTTATTAAATTTTAAAGTGTAAAGACTAATTAGTTTAAAGAACGGCTTTAAACATGTCTTACTACCAATATGCAGGTAAATTGAGAACGAACACTTTCTCATAAGCTAAGTTAACCTAGTTGTAGCGTACAGTTTTCGAGTATTATGAACTTTAAAGATAGATGGTGAACATTGACCCACATTTAGTCATAATCCATGCGCGGTTCCTACATTATAGCAGAAACAATTTGTAAATAAAAGCAAACCACTGATGAAAAATAGTTGAGTTACATGAATCTTCACCTCTCAGTTGAAAACCGAAGACTGAACTTGTTATCAAAACTTGATTAGGAGGTTCGATCATATGTTTGGTCCACCACGTTCTGAATATTTCATCGTGATTTCGACACTATTTATTCAACTTCTTGAATGATATCACACCGAATTAAATCACATGTAGTGACTAATGTGCCGTAATTAAAAAGAAATAATGAACTTCTGAATGATGATCGTTTCCGATGAAACATGTTTCTACACAATGATATTATACATATATTATCATAGAAATACATCCGATGAGGGGTGTTGGCTACCAATGATATTAATTTAGCCAAAGGTTTGTATCACCAAGGTTTAAGCAACAATAATACTCTGAGCAGGGTTGGACAAGTCCTATACTATCTCAGTCCTCCTAAGCAGTTGAGACGCAAATGTGGAGAAGCTATCGAAAAAAAGTGAATTGTTGTATTGTACACAATTAATACTTCAATCTCTATGTCTGGGTCAGTCCTGCAACTCGTATATGCATAACATAGGACACTATAATAACTCCGCTTTAGGCAATGAACATTCTTATGTATTTATCGACTACTGTTTTGGATACTTGGTTGGTCGACAGTGCGCAATCTAAGTACCAAACCCAACATTCAAATACGAAATAATAAAACCTCATTATGTCTAAAAAGTACGAACTACTATAGTTATAGTTCGTTTCCAACTTGCGAACTACGGATTGATTTTTAACAGCTACTATAAAGAAATACTTTGTATTCAATCTAATATCCCTACTGTCCTAAAAGTGGATGATGAACTTATAAGAGACCCAGCAGAACTATTTGAACCGCTTAGCAACGCATTTGCACAGACATTCATTGTATGTAATGAAGATGAACGCACAAAGAGCAGTTTAAGCTCACATACATCAGCAGACCTAGAATTCACGCAGAATATTGTGAGAGATGCGTTAAGGGCATTAAGACCTCCCCGAGGTGGTTACGTTGGAACACCGGCCAATAAGTTAAAAATGGGGGTTCTGACACTAATTATGCCTACTAAAACATTTAATCTGTGCTTTGAGACAAGCATTTTCCCTAGGCAATAGAAAGCCTGATACGTCGTCAGATACTTTAAAAGAAGTCTGGACTAGACGTAGACAAATATCACCCAACCAACCACATAACCATCGTATCTGGTACTGCGGAGAAAAAAACTGCAACGGAGATTAATATTCATCTTGATTAGCAACACTTGATCACGTCATCGCAACGTGGTTTCATTTCCAAAAATTAAGGACAAACAATCGTTCAGAATCATTTGAATATGTAATGAACAATGAAAATGAAGAGAAACCAGTTGACAATCTGTACCTTGAATTCAACAAAGCACTAAGAAACGGAGGAAATATCCTCGTAGCAAAGAACTTTCCAGACGTTTTGAGAAATAAAACAGTTTATTAAACCATAAAAATTGCCTTCCCAATATACTCAGATACTGGACCTAGCAGAAGCCTTCATTGCCTATGATAATACAGGTTTTCCAATCTTCTGTCCAAATAATGTGAAACTTAAGGTTTTGTTTGAACATCAGCGACGAAAACATCTCAATTGTCACATAGAAAGTGTTGATAAAACAGATGGGCTTAACTTGTGGTTTTCAAAAACAAATATTCATTTACACTAAACTAAAACGAAATGAAAATATTGATTAATCATAATAATGTACCTTCCGATCTTCATTGGAACGTGAACGGCGCCATAGCCTCGTAAAACATCTTTACCAAAGACGTCAACGCCATAAGCATGAAGAACGATTTGAGGCCCTTCAAAATTAAACAATATGAACTAACGTACAACCGAATGGGTTCGTGGATTTCCATGAAATATCTATCGGAAAATTGAAATTGTTCTGATCATTGCAACCGACACCTTTAATAGAAATTTGAGTCATCACTTCATCGAGACCCTGCCATATTTCTGTTATATATGGCATTCTAGAATCTTACGGTTAATTTGGTCCAGTCTTGACCAGTTGCGAAGCAGTACTTGCACCATATATAGTCGTGGAGTGGAAACTATGGAATACATCATAAGCTCTAATATCTTACGTAAGCCTTTTCAATCTGTCCAGTGACTGACAACAGAAAGTAACCACCTAAACTACCATAAGATTGTAACACGTATTAGCAACAGCTACCTAAGGGCGGAAGAATCTGAAACAACAGCACACAATGATTAACCGAGCACTTCACACCACAGAGAGAGAACACGGAATGCAAGACACCAGTGTTATATTTCTGAAATTCAAATGTGCGGGGAAATGTACAGAAGAGGGCGTTAGTTTACAAATAGTTTTATGAGTCGTCCTGTAGGCTCAGTGCATGTAGAGCTTGTTCTTCTTATTCTAAAGCATATATTCTTGGTGGTCATGCAACAGAAGGAAAACGGAATCTATTAACACCATATACATGATGATTTTAACGCTGTTACATCGCCCCCTCTCCTAATAGGGCACTGTCCTCAGTGCCCGGTCTTGGGCACGGGTATGTTGTTCCTCCTTCTGATGGTACTTCATAAAATCTAGTGGCCGGCGGTGGATCGGCAGACTGAGCATCGAAGGAAACTGTCATTCGATCCGGTTTAATTTGGTTGTAGTGTATCGTTATTACGTCGTCTTTAGGTCGTTGTATGTTACGCAGTACAAACGTAGTGGGGGATCGGATGAGGATAATTTCAAAAGGGCCTTGCCAGGGCTGGTGGAATTTACTGCAACTCCCTAACGATGTCATGGGGTGGCGTAGCCAGACGCGATCTCCGACTGTATACCTTGGTCCCTGCACCTGACGATCGTACATGTCTTTTTGGTGTTCGCTAGCCTTACGCAAGTTGATATTGACCAGGCGGTATGCATCAGCTAAGCGGTTGCGGTTGCGTGAAGCAAGACAACTTGATTATATCTCTCAATTTACTACAGACATCAGCTTTATCAAAGGTCACATGAACATTGTCGCAGATGCACTATCTAGGAGGGACATCAATACGATGGTACGCAATCCCGACATCAGCCTTAAAACCTTGGCTAAACTACAAGTAGACGACGCAGAATTAAAACTCTGCAAAGAAAAGTCTAGCTTAAATCTCGAACCTGTACCAATTCCCATTTCAGATACCTTCATCATGTGCGACACTTCAACAGGCAACAATCGTCCTTTCGTCCCACACGTTTGTAGACGAGAGATATTCCTACACTTGCACAGTCTTTCACACCCAGGCATCAGAGCTACAACAAAGCTCATTATTGAACGTTTTGTGTGGCCGAAAATCAATTCAGATGTTAAACGTTGGACACGTAGCTGCCTCCAGTGCCAACGCAGTAAGACACAGAAACACATATACAGTCTAATTGGGAAGTTCCCTATCCCTGACAAACGTTTTCAACACATTCATCTAGATGTAGTTGGTCCACTTCCACCATCAAATTCATTCACACACATCCTCACCGCAGTGGACAGATTCACAAGATGGGCTATAGTGTGTCCCATTGCCGACACTTCTGCAGAGACTGTAGCCGCCGCATTCCTTGACCGTTGGATATCAAACTATGGAGTACCATCTATCATCACTACAGACCGTGGTTCCCAATTTCAATCTGTCTTATTTCAAGAACTTACAAAACTTCTGGGCGTGAACCACATCAAAATGACAGCCTACCACCCAGCAGCTAATGGTTTGGTCGAAAGGTTTCACCGACAACTAAAAAGCTCTCTGATGGCACAAGAGGATACATCAAAATGAAGTGACGCATTACCACTCGTACTCCTGGGCATTCGTTCAGCTATGAAAGAAGATACAGGTTGTACAGCCACTGAGCTAGTTTACGGTATAACCCTTACACTACCAGGTCAACTAGTGGACGCAGACCCATCAACACCAACGGACGTAAATCGTTTTGCGAGCCGATTACTGCATATTATGCAACGAATTAAACCCGTACCGCCGCGTGAACATAACAATCGAATACAACTCGACAAAAACCTAGAAACATGCAAGTTTGTTTTTGTTCGACTTGACGCAGTTAAAAAGCCCTTGAAACAACCATAGGAAGGACCTTATCAAGTAGTTAAACGAAAAAACAAACACTTCGTCATCAATAAAAATGGGAAGAAGGAGACTATCTCCATAGATAGAATAAAGCCGGCTTTCTACGAAGTTCAACATGACAAAGAAAATAGCACTACATGTAATCAACCCCTCCCACTAACCACTACGACACTAGGGGAGGATGAAAAACCGAGTAGCGAACCTACTTGTTTAATTAGTTCAGGCAGAATTGTAAAAAAACCCAGACGTTACATACAATTCGCCGAATAAAAAATTAATATTCAAAACAAATAATTATCGATGTCCTACACTTTTAAGTTCACACAATTTTTTTTCAACAAAATCTATGACGATTTTTTTTACGGTGTACATAATCAATCATTTTTTCCACCATTACTCGTTTTGTCAGTTTTTAAAAAAAAATTTTCTGGCACATCAATAAACGAGTAAATTCTATTTAATTATTTATTCATTGTACACAAAAATAAACACTTCATTTTTTGTGAGTTTATTAACAGTTTCGCACATTATTAGCATTTTTAGCAAACCAAGACATTAAATGTCTATATTTTCACCCTTTTTGTTGTTGTTATGCTATGCTACATAAACGTCATATATTTTTTTACACAATAACACACTGTATATTACTAAAACGCACGTCATAACCATCTCCACAACATTATTTTTTGGTTATTACTGTAACTATAATTTGTTTGCATACATGTATCTATAATATTCTTATATATTTTTGGTAATATAACCAGTGTTACCTCCGGACACTCTGGGGGGAGCAATGTGGAGATATGCCTGACAAGTTTATTTTGTAAATAGTTTTTAATGTTATTTGTATTTATTCTGTCAATTTCCCACTGCATGTACATTTATCATTAAATAATTGTACCTGTTGTTTAAGCGCATGACCTTGAACACTTTTCCGTTGTGATACTACATAGCGTGACACGTTTGTGGTTGTTTCTAAAATACACTATTTCGCACATACCTCTCGTTCTACATTCACTCGCATTTGCGTTAACCGAAGTCTGAATCAAATACCATTTACCTTTACATACTGTAATTGGAATATACCACTGGATCATATCCTTAGGGAATCCATCAAACTTACTGGAATTATTAACCATCTATAATTGTGGATATTTAATGCCAGATCAATTTGGAACACGCACTCTCCTGGTGAACTAAGTAACGTTCCTTATTTCTATTGTGTTTATAAAATTTGACTTATATATATAAATATTATTATTTGTTATTACTAACTCTGTTATTATCTTTTGGGTTATTATATTGTCTGTTCCACCACAACTCACGAATCGTAACTTTTTTAGTCCGTAACACAGTAGTCTGAAAGATCAAAATAGAAGCATTATACCCACTTCTTATAATATAACCAAGCGTATAGGAATATGCATAGCATATTTCAAATGAAATAATTTGTCGCATAACAGATAAAAGGAAAATTAAACTCGAAAAAGCAGAATCGGATAAAAGAATATTTAAATGGATAAAGGCAGGTAACAAATCGAAATAAAATTAAGGCAAAATTCAAATCGAAGGTAAATCGGATTTCGAGGATAAGCATTTACTATACTGGTGTACAGTGACCAAGGCTAAAAACATTTCGTACAAAGGTTTTACAAATTGCTGAGACGTAAGCGGACAAACAATTACAAGAGACAAACTTATGAGTCATTAACACAAGCTTCAATTTCTCCCACAAAATTAGAATTACACCAGCTAAGACTTTCGGAATTCGTCTTAAAGTTTCTCTTGTGAATGCTCTATATTTTGGTTTTATGTGATAATCACCCATTTTCCTACCTTAAATGGACAGTTAACATCTCTGATGCTAATATGTTTATGATAAGCACCACATTTTTGTTTCAAATGATAGAAGGATACGTTATTTTGTCCATGAGTTTAGTTTTTTATCTTTACTTGGAATTATGTAGATTTTACTGACATTCTTGATCTTAGATTTACTTAACAACTGGACGTCGACACCTCAGTATTAGGTTGATTCATAACGCTTTTGCTCGCAACAACTTTATAATTAAAAGATGCTATTCCAGCCATATCAGATTTCATATATGAATGAGATCGAAGATACGCTGAGAAGCGTCTGTTCTGACCTGGAAAGCAGTTGCAATGGATACGTTGCACCTCACTCATGATCTGGTGCGGAAAGGTGTCTGAGCGTCATCAGCTGGGGTGTGTTCAGTGAAACTGGGATCAGCATCAAATATCGAAGAATTACATAACTATTTGTTTTGGAAGTTTGTCTACACAAACAAATAACTTCCCCCTACTAAAGCGATAGTGATGGCCTTGATACATGGCCAGCCATAAGTTTAAGTCATAAGACCATGCCGATGGCGTGCAGTGGAATTGAGTCCTAACCACACAATCCTCAAAGCTGAACACTTGACAACTGTGAAACTAGATATTCGATATTTAACGCCAAGAAAAACTCAACGACGGAGAAGACGGGAAGAATGAATTGAATGAATTCGAATTGATCGTATGACGTGGCTCGGCCTCGCAGGCGTGGTCATTGTTTAGTGTTGTTATATACCTTTTACTCATATCAAGTATAGTTTTATCTCTAGCCTAAGTGTGTTCCTCACCATATATTGATGACTTTTTACAATGCAATATGTTGGTGTAAATAATAATGTGACTTCCAAGTAAGATCTTATAGATTAGGCAGTTACATCATGACAAATCTACAATTTCAGGATTAGGTATATTATTAGAGCAGTATTAATATCATAGTAGACCATTATTGTACAGGCGCACTCTTTTGTTAGGTTGCTATAATAATAGTAATTCCAGTTTACAGGCAAGATCAAATTGTTACAAATGATAGTTTCCAACTGTAGTAAATCACTCAGCTGAGTCGATAATTTATAAGATATGAATGTAGATGGTTTTAGTCAGTATCA